AACCATAATCCCAACCAATAACCCTAACACTAACTATAAACCGACTCTAACCATAATCCCAACCAATAACCCTAACACTAACTATAAACCGACTCGGCTCTATTATATACGGGTGGCATAGGCCCCTAGTACCAAACACTAAATAATTGTTACGACTGGTCGCCACAGCGTATTGACACACACACATTGACACAAATAGTTACTCGATCTCATCTGTATATTACAATTTACATAATTCCAATGATAACTCGTGTGTATGATGAATGCGATCTAAAGCTACCTCTCTCGGCTTGATATCTGTTTCATCCTGTCTCAAAACAAGCATTTCAACAGGAATCTTTTCCCAATGAAGTCAGTTTTCGTCGGTGCACGTAACCAAGACTAACAATAACGATGCGCCATCTAACGAGGTGTTCCTGAATTTATCGCTTTATATATCGATTATATATCGCTACATAAAAGCCCAGCCGCATACACTGCGGGGATAATTACAATGTGACATATATGATACAATAACACAATAAGTGTAATAATAAACAATGAAAATACAAAAGCATGCAGGAGGAGGAGGATGAAGAGGAGGCAGAGGAGGAGGTAGAGATAGAGAATATGGAAGGAGACAAGGAATGCGCGGAGGAGGCGAATGAGGATAGGGTGGGATATGGAGAGGTAAACGTAGAAAGTATAAAGCGTATTTTGTCAATACCTACAATATGTGAAATTTCTCCTATACACATGCTCGATCATTTTGAGTGCTAAAGTTGGCAGAAATAAATTATCTTGGCTGTATGTACACTGCTATGTACATTAGCATGGGAAAAGGAATGTGGCAGGATGTTGCGGGCAAAGTGAGATTTCTCATTCTAGGGCGGATTTTACCATGCACATCTCTTCAGGGCATACCCCTGCCCAGTTTGAGCGCGTAAGTTTGGCTGAAATAAGCTATCTTGGCTGGCAACCCGGCCAGTGACCCTAGGGCTACTTCTAGATGTACATTAGTAGAGGAAAAGGATTGTGGCGGGATGCTAGATTTCTCTATATACGTTCTGTGTGCGCAGGCCCATTACTTGCCTGAAAATCATTATTATTGGGACAGTATACCATTAAAATGGAGAGGGCATATGCTCGAACAGACGGATGTGTAAAAACTCCTTTACAGTGACTCAGTTTATCAATAGCAAAGGGCCCTAGCTCAGTCTCCCAAATTCCCTTGCACAAGAATAATATTTTGCAAAAATTACGCATTTAAATTGAAGAAGAGTTACCCTAGCATAGATTTATATGATAAAATTCCATCAGTAGACCTCACTTAAGAAATGGGAAGAAGACCATGTATGTAAGGTCCGCGCTGCATATCCCACTCACTACACAATCTGGCTACGCTAGTGTGTTAGCGCATGCGCAATATCTCACCAGAGGAGTTATATTTTGTGATGAATATGCATTTAATATGGTTAGGAGGTTTCACAGCATAGATTTATGAAATTAATTGTTATCAGTAGGTCTGTGTTCAAAATTAGGAAAGGGCCCTAGCTTGTAGGGTGCAAAACTTCTACTTCATCCCCTCTCGTCCTTCCCCTTGTCTCCATTGTCGCTCGCTCAGCCTTCTTAATCTTCTACCGCCCTCACATATCTTTCCTGCCGCCTTTCCCTAGTCTCAAAACTCTCTCTTTCTCTCAGCAAGCTATAATATGCATGCAGCTTTCTTCAGTCAGTACTCCACGCCTGAAACGGTGCCCGCGCATGCGCAATATCTCCCGAGAAGAATAACATTGTGCTAAGATTATTCATTAAATTGAACAGGAGTTACACTAGCATAAATTTATATGATAAAATTCCAACAGTAGACCTCACTTAAGAAATGGGATGAAGACCATGTATGTAAGGTATTCCAGTCAGTACACAATCTGGCTACATGAGTGTGTTAGCGCATGCGCAATATCTCACAAGAGGAGTTATATTTTGTTATGGATATGCATTTAATATGATTAGGGGGTATCTCAGCATAGATTTATGAAATTAATTGTTATCAGTATAGACCTGTGTTTATTATTAGCAGAGCGCCTTAGCCTGTAGGGTGCAAAACTCCTACTTCATTCCCTCTCGTCCTTTCCCTTGTCTCCCTTGTCGCTCGCTCAGCCTTCTTAATCTTCTACCGCCCCTCACCTATTTTTCCTGCCGCCTTTCCTCAATGTCCCACCTCTCTCTCTCAGCAAGCTATATTATACAGATTTCTTTAGTCCGACTGCACACCTGAAACGGGGCTCGCGCATGCGCAATATCTCCCGAGAAGAAGAATATTTTTGCGAAAATTATAAATTTAAAATGAAGAGGAGTTATCCTAGCATAGATTTATATGATAACATTCTATCAGTAGACATCATTTAAGAAATAGGAGGAAGACCTTGCATGTAAGGTCCTCGCTGCGTATACCAGCCAGTACACAATCTGGCTACGTTAGTGTGTTAGCGCATGCGCAATATCTCACCAGAGGTGATATATTTTGTGATGAATATGTATTTAAAATGGTTAGGGGGTATCTCAGCATAGATTTCCCTAATAGACTTTTGTCAGTAGACCTGTGTTTATAATTAGGAGAGCGCCCTAGCATGTAGGGTACAAAACACCTACTTTATGCCTTCGCGTCCTTCTCCTTGCCTCCCCTGTCCCTCGCTCAGCCTCCTTCTTCTTCTACCGCCCCCAGCTATCTTCCCTGCCGCATTTCCTTAGTCTCCCATCCCCTCTCCCCCTTAGCAAGCTATATTATGAAATTTGCCTCAGACAGTACTGCACGCCTAACACGGTGCGCGCGCATGCGTAATATCTCCCGAGAGAAATAGTATTTTGCAAAGATTATGCATTTAACATAAAGAGGAGTTATCCTAGCATAGATTTATATAATAACATTCCATCAGTAGACATCGTTTAAGAAATAGAAGGAAGACCTAGCATGTATACCCC